TTTTATATGAAAGCATATTTAGTCATGGTTTCCCTGTCTTTACTTACCATAGATAATTGAGAGCCCACTGTTAAGTGTTCTTAGAAGTCATGGTATGATTTATTTTTTTAGTTTTTTTGAGTGGGGAGATAGTTAGGTTTATTTATTTATTTATGTTTAATGGAGGTACTGGGGATTGAACCCAGGATCTCGTACATGCTAAGCACACAGTCTACCACTGAGCTATAACCTCCCCCTGAATTATTTTTGAGAGAGAGTAAAAATCAGACTAGAGGATTGAAACCATTATATTAATGTTGGTATTTAAAATAAATGTACTTGACATTTTCCAGAATAAAGAACTGTTCTCAGGACTTTAAAAAGACTGCTGACCGGCTAACTGTTGGTTTAGAACATTCAGCCTTCACACGTGGGACTGTTCTGAACCCATCAGCTGTAATGGAGGTATGAAGAATGTTATTCATCAAGTGACACGTGGCCAGACGTTTTTACTTTGTCTCTGGTAGCTTCACTTTCCTCTTCTCTCAAGGTTCCTATAACTGTAGATTCTTTTGAAAACATGAAGGTAACAGAGGTAAACCTATACTCCCTTGCTTGAATCTCTTGATTTGTTCTGAACTGTTTTCAGCAATTCTCTTTTCCTCCCAAGTTAGCCCATTCTGCCTTTGACCAGCTCTGTCAGTGCTCTTGATATTTACCTGCACGTAGCTTCCTCCTTTTGAACCTAGTTATTGAATTCACATTCTATGAGATTGTATAAAGTGCAAGTTTCTAAATTCTAAGGGTGATTTACCAGGTATTTTAACGGTGACTGAAAGGATGGTGTAATTGTTGTTGGAAGATTGAGTTTTACCTGTTACTACTCCATATCACTTTAAATAATGTATTCTTCTAATTTAAGACTAGAAACAGGACAAACTCCAAAATACTGCTGAATGAAGTATTACATCTTTTTGTTAAGGGGATCATTAGTGGGCTGGGAGAGAAGACAGAGCGCTGTCTTCACCTTCATTGTTTAAATCTTAACATAGCCAAATTATAATCTTTTTTTCTTAAGAACTGTTACTTTTTATGTATATATATTTATTGCCATGATAAATTTTTCAGGTAGTTTTAAGATGCAAAATGGTTGTAGGACATAATTCCATTTTTTCCAAAAAGGTACCTAAAAGAAATTTGGGATGCTATCACCAAAACTAAAATGTTAATTGTTGCTTCTTTTCTGATTTCTGTAGTGGGTCTGTAACCGCAATGGTAGCTTGATGCTTTTGCAGCTGCTATGTTGTATCTAAGCATCTATGTTTATACTTTGTGTTTGTATATTCCCCTTCCCTTTCTTAGGAGACTAAAACTGTGGAAGAAATTGATGAAGCATTGAAGATAGCAGGCCAGAATTTTGAAGAATTAAGTATTGCTGTAAAAGTAAGCATTTTGAATGATTAAATTCTATCATAAATTAAGGCATGTTCTCTTTAACTGTGTAATTTGGATGTAATATCACTGAAATTGGAGCTTAGCATTCAGTTATTAAGTATGATTATCAAATGATAAGAGAAATATACAAAAGAATGGACACCTCTCATGGCCTGCTAGCAGTAATCTCATAGCATTGTTGTGCTAGCAGCATGCTGAAATTGGAGCTCTGTTAAGGAGCTGTGATTTCCGCTTGCTGTGAGCTGAGTTTTGTCTTGGAAGCATTGCAGATCACCTTTCTAGCATTG